AAAATAGTAATAAAAGTAGCAGCAGATCTGCAATAAAAACATTACTATTAATGGTACATCAAGATTTTATAAGATGTCATTTATGAAAATAAAAACAAAGCAAAGCCAATGACTTAATTTTGAAAATGCTTGACATAACTGTTTGTTGCACGTTAGTGTATGTGCTTCCTTTCAGGTAAAATAATTGTTTGGATCTAGTTTAAGCCTCAGGATAAATTAAAGTTATGCTTAATTGCACTTTATCTTTTTTTCATCTCTCCACTGCAGGGCATATTTTTGTTTTCATTGATCTGGTCTGTTGGTGCTTCTTGTAAAGATGATGACCGGTTGAAATTTAGTAAGATTCTTCGAGAACTAATGGAAGGTCCAATTACAGATATAACCCGAAATAGGTTTAAATTACTCAGTGGTACCGAACAGCTGCCCTCCAAGGCACTAACTGTCCCATTTCCTGAGAAAGGAACCATTTACGATTATCAGTTTATTTGTGAGGTAAGAATTCTGAAGGAAGAATGGTTGCTATGTACCTGGCAGAACCCCTTCGGAGACTCGTACTATGTATCATGGCTCCGGGCCACCTTTGACATCCGTTTGCCTTAGAAGCCAGCCTAGGACAGAGGAAAGTGCATTGATGCTGAAAGCAGACACACCTGCTTTCTTGGAGTGTAACCTTGGACACATTTAATTTAATCTCTTGGAACCTCAGTTTTCTTATTGCAAAAATATCATAATAATTATACCCCTTTCTGCAATTACACTCAATAAATAAAAGTATGCATTACCATATCTAGTCGAGCAGCAGGCACATAATGTTCAAAGACACCTTGGAGGTTCATGATATATGTGAGTATATTACAGACCGTAAGAAGTCCTACAGGAAAGCATCTGGTTTAATGCCAATTCAGCATGTCACACACTGATTGGACAATAAAAGCTGATTGGTGTTTGTTTGCATGTTTGTTTTTATGTAATTGCTCCCACAAGTATTGTACTGAGGAGAGCGTTTCATAATATATATTGTTTAAATGACTACAGACATAAGTAAAATTAGGACCACACTATATCCCCAATGGGCAGTTTTATAATTTTCTTTTTAACTTAATAAAGAAGATACCTTTCTATTTCACTAATTTTTGTTGTTGTTGCTGTTAAGTACCATTGAGTTAGTTAAAGCCTCCCTATATTGAGCTCTGGTAGCATAGTAGTTACAAATCGGTCTGCTAACCTCAAGGTCGACAGTTCAAAACTACCAGCTGTTCCGTGGGAGAAAGATGAGGCATTCTGCTCCCTTAAAGATTTGCAGCCTCTGAAACCCTGTGCAGGTTCACTATGAGTTTGAACCAACTCCCCGGTACTTGGAGTCATGGGCCAAACAGTTTCCTACTCTTGGGCATTTGGGTTGATTTAGTTGTTCTTTACTTTTGTAATTATTACTTTGGAGTTCCAGAGTGGGGCTGTAGGATCCACACTGTACTGTTAACCACAAGGCCGGCGGTTCAAACCCACCAGTTGCTCCTCAGAAACCCTATACAGGGTCACTATAAGTCAGAACCGACTCGACAGCACTTAATAAAAGCAAAAGTTTTACTTTATCTTACATTTCTAATAATGCCCTACATTCTCAGAGCACTTTAAAATGTTTTAAGCATTTCCACAATTATTTCTATTTCGTTTTCTTAACACCTCAGTAAAATAGGAACAGATTTTCCTGCTGAAAAATGTAGGCATAGCGAAACAGTCATTTTTCCAGGATCACATAATCTCCAAATTACTGCACATTCCAGCTCTTAATCCTTACTTCTCCATCAGTTCCAGAAATATATTTTTTGCAATACAATTTCCAGAATGATATGAATTCAGTCACTTCAAAAAAATCTCCAATGTATTCACGGCACTGTGTAGATGATAGAGAAATCAATAAAACACGGTGCTGCCATCAGTGAGTTCATAGCCTCTTCAGAGGAGAACCGTGTAACCTTCTAGGCCAAGGGAATACCTTGTATCAGAACTCCAGGAGCATAACTGGGACCAGCGAGTCTGTCTGTGAAACTGAGTTATGGGACACATACTGCAAAGGAAGGCTGAGTCTGAGTTCTGAAGTGTTTTAAATGCTCAGGAATTTGCAGTTATATTTGTGTGTGTGTAAAAATGGAGTGGGTGCTGGTATATTTCTAAAGAGAAAGTGCTGACGTGGTCATTTAAAATAAAGTTTGTTATAAAAATGGTCATAAGAAATCAATACTTTAGTCTGCTATTGGATGCTAATTGGATACAAAGATACAGCATAATGGTAATCCATAATAGTTGTGTTAAGAAATCTGACCTGAAATTCTAATCTTGTGCTGTGACTACTGTATCAAGTAATACATAGCTGATGTCCTAGGGAGAAAATAATTTCAGATTGGTTAACACTTCTTGAATAAAGTCTGTTGCTCACTAATTTAACCCATTGGTTTGTCTAATTCTCTTAGCATCACTTAAGAACCTAACATTTGGCCAAAATAATTGATCTTTGGGTTGGAATAAGCAATGGCATAAAAAATATCACAGTTTTACCATTTTATTTTTATTCATGTAAAACCCTAATTTCTCCTTAGTTCGCACATAAAACTTAACTTGCGAACTCAGAATGAAGTGTTTAAAAGGATAAAAACAAATACACAATAGCAGAACCTGTCATTCTTTTTGTCTTCTATAATCATATATTAGTACAGAGTTTCAAAAATATGTTTATAATATTTACTACTTAACTATTTTTTTATAAATAGGGAATAGGAAGGTGGGAGCCATGGGTAAAGAAATTAGAAGATGCCCCTCCAATTCCTAAAGATGTGATGTTTAATGAAATCATTGTCCCAACTTTGGACACAGTTCAATGCTCTGCATTAATGGAATTACTCACCACTCATCAAAAGCCTTCAATATTTGTAGGACCAACGGGAACTGGAAAGAGTGTTTATATTATTGTGAGTATTTTAAAAATCTACATATCAAAATGTACATAATATTCATAAGAATGTTGTTTTTAAACCCCCTGAAATAGTAGGCTAAAGTTTTGTTTTGTTTTAGTTGATGTTTGTACCGAGGATAACTTTTTAGTAATTGTCTATTTATTTTAGAAAATTGATTAAATATACAGTGCCACTTTATATCACTAAATTGCTATCCCAATCATATAGGTATTTTCATAATATCTTGTTTAGGATGAAGAATTTAATATCTTTGGAAAGATGTGTTTTAGTTAATTATTGTTAGATGCTGTTGAGTTGATTCTGACTCAGAACAACCTTATACACAACAGAACGAAACACTGCCTGGTCCTGCAACAACCTCACAATCCCTGTTACTCTTGGAACCCATTCTTACTTCCACTGTGCCAATCCAGCTCATTGGGGGTCTCCCTCTTTTTTGACGACCCTTCACTTTACCAAGCATAATGCTCTTCTCTAAGGTCTGGTCCCTCCTGATAATATGTTTAAAGTATGAGAGACAAAGTCTGATGATCTTGGCTTCTAAGGAGCATTCTGGTTATACTTCCAAGATTTGTTTGTTTTTCTGGCAGTCCATGGTACTTTTAATATTCCTCTCCAACACCATAACTTAAATGCATCAATTCTTCCTTAATCATTGTCAATTTTTACATGCATGTGAGACTATTGGAAAGCTGCTGTAACAGATTGTTGTTTTGTTAAATGCCAAAGAGTCAGTTTTGACTCATAGCGACCCTATATCGGGTTTCCAGAATGGAAGCAGAAAGCCTCATCTTTCTCCAGCCAAGCAGCTGGCAGGCTTGAAACACAGACCTTATGGTTCATGCTGTCCAGTGCTTATCATATGGAGCCACTGTGCTCCTGTTGTAACAGATAAAAGCCACAAATCTAAGTAGCTTTATACAACCTATGTTCCCTTAAGTTTGAGGGTCATATTGATCAGAGACCTGTGACTACCTCCTGTTAGTTTCAGATTTCTGAAGACTGAAACTTGTTGAAGTCATAAATAGCTCTCAGCCTCTGGCATGGCAAATAAATGCAAGTTTCCACAGGGTCAATTGGTCAATGGGAAGATGACTTGAGTACTCTTGGGACTCCACTGTAGTTGACTGTTCACTCTGGTGCAGGAACGCCATTAGTCATAGATGTCAGTCTGACTTATGAGAGGCAGAGGTGTTGTATGGGATCCCTGTGGAGTATCTAAAGAATCTCCATGTCAATGACCCTGGGAAGCCTGCCATCAATGGCAGTTAAAACTGCTTCACTCCCCTCCTGGTGGAGGCAGAAAGAGCAAGATCAGAGGGAGGAGGGGGTAGAGAGTGAAAGATCTCTGAGTGGGTGGTCCCTCCCTCACTGCAGGTTCTCAGACAATTCACATTCCTCCAGTTTACATCAGTATCTGTTTTAAGTCTTTATTGATTTTTACATTTTGATTTAATAGTTTAATCATTCTGAAATATATTTCGATATATAGTTAAATAACTGCCCTAGTATGGTGTGGCGCTGTGGGTTAATGCACCAGACAGCAAAGCCGTTTGAACTGCAAAGTTGGTGGTTCAAGCTCACCAGCTGCTCCTTGGAAACCCTATATAGGGTTGCTATGGGTCAGAATCGACTCAACGGCACTTAACAACAACAATCATTTATTAAATAATCTTTCACAACAGATTGGAATGACACCTTTATCATGATTTTTAATGTCATTTTAATACTCTATGATTATATGGTAATTGATTCAAATCTCTAATTTTTCTAATGTTATACTTTAAAAATAAGAGTAAAACCAACAGTTTTGTAGCTTAGTCTCTATCTTATCTCTGCTTATTTCTAAATTCCTAAATTTTCAGAAGTAGAATTGCTGATTTTTTATCATTTTGTTAAGTTCTTTAGAAAGATTATACTAACTCAGCCTCTGCTAGCAATTTATGATAGTTCCATTTGAAGCTATTTCTACTATATTTTCATTAAATCTATCTATAATTTATTTTGAGTCCCAGTGTAGTGCAAATGATTAACACACTCAGCTGCTTCCCAAAATGTTGGAGATTTGAGTTTACCAAGAGGCGTTTTGGAAGAATCTCTGACTTTTAAAAACACAGCCACTGGAAATGCAATTGAGCACAGTTCTATTCTGGCATTCACAGGATCGTTGTAAGTCAGAATAGACTAGACAGCAACTGGCAAAAAAAAAAAAAAAAATCTTGATGTATAGTAAACAGTTGTTCTGGAAGTCCTGGTGTGCTGCTATGGGATAAAGCACTGTACTACATGTTTGGTTTGTACCACAAGGTTGGTGGTTCAAACTCATCAGCCACTCCTTGGAAACCCTATACAGGGTTGCTATGAATCAGAACTGACTCGAAGGCACTTAAAAACAGTAACAAAAAACACAAACCAGTTGTTCTAGTAAACAAATATCCTAGGCATTAGTGAGCTGGAATGGATTGCTATCAGTTATTTTGAATATGACAATCATATTGTTTACTAATGCCAGGAATGAAAAATTGAAGAATGGCATCACATTCATCATCAAACAGAACATTTCAAGATCTGTCTTGAAGAACAATGCTGTCTGTGATAGGATAATATACACATGCCTACAAGGAAACTGGAGCAATGGATTGGGAACCACAAATTCACAGTTCGAGTCCTCTAGCACTTGGCGGGAGAAAAATGAGGCTTTCTACTCCCACAAAGATTTAGAAAACTTCAGAAACCCTACAAAGGGTTGCTATGAGTTGAACCTACTGGAAGGCACTTAACAACAATTAAACAACAAGGAAGACTAGTTAATATCACTATCATTCAAATTTGTGCAGCAACTACTAAAGCTAGTGGTGATGAAATTGAAGAATTCTACCAAATTCTTTAGTAAGAAGTTGATCAAGCGTGCAATCAGTATGCACTGATAATTACTGGTGATAGGAATATGAAAGTTGGAAACAAAGAGGAATGATCAGTAGTTGGAAAATATGGCTTTGGTGATGGAAATTATGCTGGAGATCACATGATAGAATTTTGCAGGACCAGCAACTTATTCATTGCAAATACCTTTTTTCAACAACATAAAAGTTGGCTATACACATGAACCTCACCAGATGGAATACATAGGAATCAATTGAAGACATTTGTGGGAAGAGATGGTGGAGAGGTTCAATATCATCAACCAAAACAAGGCCAGAAGCAGACTGTGAAACAGATCATCAAGTGCTCATATGGAAGCTCAGGCTGAAGCTGAAGAAAATTAAATCAAGTCCATGAGAGCCAAAATATGATCTTGAGTATGGTGGTGGTGGTTATGTATTATGGAGTCAATTCCGACTCATAGCGACTATGTATAGGATTTCTGAGGCCTTAATCTTTTGGGGAGGATAAAGTCTCATCTTTCTCATGTGAAATGGCTGGTGTTTTTGAACTGCTGACCTTGTGGTTAGCAGCCTGATTTATAAACCAAGGCACATAACAACAACAACAAGCTACCAGAGCTCCTTGTTCTTGAGTATATCCTATCTGAATTTAGATACCATCTCAAGAACAGATTTAATGCATTAGACACTAATGACCAAAGACCATAATAGTTGTGGGATGACAACAAGAACATCATATGTGATGAAAGATAAAGATCATTAGAAAGACAAGAAAGAAAGAAATGGCCAAAGTGGATGTCAGAAGAGACTCTGAAATGTGCTCTTGAACATAGAGATGCTATAGCTACTAAAAGAAATGGTGAAATAAAGTAGCTGAAAGAAAATCTCAAAAGGCAACTCAAGAAGGCAAAGTATTATAATGAAATGTATAAAGGCCTGTAATTTGAAAACCAAAGGGAAGAACACATTCAGATTTCTCAAACTGAAAGAACTGAAGAAAAAAATCAAGTCTTGGGTTGCAATACTGAAGGATTGTAGTGGTGCTTTAGAATAAGCATTGGACTGTTAAGTGAAAGATCAACAGTTCAAACCCACAACTCACTTCTTGGAAACCTTGTACAGTGTTGCTATAAGTCAGAATGACTTGATAACCCTTAACAACAGCAGGGGCGAACTGTTGCATGATGCAGGAAGCATCAAAAGATAGAAGGAATACATAGAGTCACTGTACCAAAAATAATTGATTAATGTTCAATCATTTCAAAATGTACCATATGATCAAGATGGTATTGAAAGAAGAAATCTAAACTGCATTGAAGGCAATGACAAAAACAAGACTCCAGGAATTGATGGAATACAAATTGAAATGTTTCAACAAATAAATATAGTGTTGGAGGCACTTACTCATCTCTGCCAAGAACTTTGTAACATAAACTACCTGGACAACAGTTTGGAAGGGATCCATTTTCTGTGCCCATTCCAAGTGAAGGTGACTCAACAGAATGCAGAAATAATCAAATAATATCATTAATATCACAGCAAGTAAGAATTTAAAAATGGTTGCAGCAATACTTGCACAGGGAGCTGCCAGAAATTCTAGCTGGATTCAGAAGAGGACATGAAACTATGGATATCATTGCTGATATAAGATGGATCTTG